CATGCTGGGCCGGTGCTGTACCACGGAAGTGCCAGGCTGGCCTCAAATTGTAATCCCATCTCTTCCACCTGAGCAGCTGGGATTACAACTCTGTGTCATTGTGTCTGGAACGTTACGACACGTTTTAAGGGCCCACCATGTTCATAGGACTGATTATTTTCAAAAGTGTCACTCAGAATTGTCTCATCAGTGGCAAACATGCATGTTAACCCAATGCTAGTACTAGCCTGAGGCTTGACAATTGAAATTTGTAGCTAAATAAGACCCCAATAAAGTGGAAACACTTTTCATGCTGGTGATGATTATCTAAAGAATAAAAAATTCTGGATGGTTAACAACCTAAGTTTGCAGACCAAATTAGAGAAAAAGGAAGGATACAAGGAAAGCCAATATTTTGGCCCTAACCTTCTAAGGTCAATTAAGACTCAGGACATATGAGAACTTGTACTGTAACGTCATGTACCTCGGTAGTGTCCCAAATTTTCTGATCAAGAAGATTATGGGGCCAAAGAGGAAAGTGATCGATGACGTAGAGTGTGCCTAAGGAGAGTCACATGGGGAGAAGACACTCTCTCAGGCTTTCACAGAGAGCACATTGGCCAAGCAATGGCCGTGACTCATCCACATGGCTGCACTGATGAAGGTTCTACAATCTGAGGTACAGGATCTCAGGACAAATCCTGAGGGCATTTCACTGACCTTCTCAGACCAAAAAGCTACAACTCTTGTTGCATAGGTCCTGCTTTACCTTGGTCTTAACCATCCAGTAGAAAAGTATGAAGTCGAAATATAAGAAATAAAGCCATGCTGTTGGGTTGAGCTGTGGGGGACTCAGGTCAATAATTTCTGACATTGCCAGTTAAATATAAGACCCAATGCTATTATGGGCTACTGGACTCTTTTAGAATATTTTGCTGAGTTTACACACCTATAATATTCAATAACGGAACTTAGAAAAAATGGGTTTTACCGATGAATGTCCATTTTGTATCTGTGTATTCAAAGTGGTTGGTGTAGATATATAGTTGCATTCTCTTAATGAATAGAATGATTTGTTCTAATGGTGTTTGTAAATGGGATCACAATTCCTCATCTTGTACAGCAATTAACCACTAAGAAGAATATATGCAGTGTATTATTTGTTGAAACTGTCCTTCCGATATGATTTGAAACTGTCTCATTGCTATCTGTTTGTCAATAAAACTTTGAAAAAAAATAAATAAATAAAGAATAAAAAAAACAGAATTTACAACTAGGGTATACTCACATATTCACCCTACACACATGACATTGGGGAAGAGGTAACTTTCTTTTTTAAATTAGTAGTAGCACAGCTGGGATTTTTGGTGAGCAAGTATAGGAGATTCCAAGGATATTATGTGATTTTATTTTAAGGTTTTGGTAGTAGTATGTTTCATTCAGCTTGAGACAGTAAAAATAAATGAGTAACAAATGACTAGTGTGTCCTGTCTGCTGTGGTGGAATCTGTTACGAAAGCTGACCAGTGAGGCACTTTCCTGTTCTCTGAAGTTAAGGATCATCATGTTTTCTTATAATTGAGGCATGTTAGCTCAGCTAGTGTATACTGTCATTGTAAAAATAGTGAAATTGCAATAAATTAATAGATTTTAGCTCTATTGCTAAACTCCCTATGTTCATACAAAATTTCTTAGGAAACAGCTAAAATACCATTAATGTATTTAAAAACAGCCTTTTTTTTTCTTTTTTTTTTTCTTTTTTTGGTGGAACAGGGGATTGAACTCAAGTCCCTTAGCTTGCCAGGCAAGCACTTATTCCACTGAGCCATCTCCCCGGCCCCTAAAAAACAGCCTTGATAGCTTTGAGTATAGGTTTTTAAATTACAGCCTGATACATAAATGTAGACTGGGCATGGTAGTACACACCTGTAATCCCAGCACTTGGGAGGCTGAAAACAGGAGGGTCACTGCGAGTCCAATCTGTGTAGTAAGACCCTGTAGACCCTGTACTAAAATACACACACAAAAAATAATAATGATATAATAAATGTTACTGACAATGCGTCTGCTCACTTGCCTTGGGGTGTGCAGCTCAGGAAAACTCCCGTGCTTCCTGCCCTCAGAGGTCCGCCCCTCCGATAGTCTGTTCCCACAGGCACCGAGGTTTGTGTGTAGCGGCAGAACGCTCCACAGGCGATGCTACATTATTTGCAAAGGTAAGGTGTGTAAGTCACGGAATACCTGGCCTTGTTGCTGATGTGCCTGCGCTCTCTCTTGTCTCCTTCATTGCTGTGTGGAACCGAGGTCTGTAGCAGCGGTCTCAGCAGCATACCCCAGAAGTGGTTCTCCAGCCCGTCTCTGCAGCCTCATGAGAGCCTGAGTCAGAACCACCCAGCTAAGCCCCTCTGACTGCCAGAAACATGAGATATTTATTAAAATGTTCAAGGGTGACTTGTTTTGCTGGAATAGATAACTAGTGTGTACCTCTACTAAGCATTGTGATAGAGCTCTTCACACTTTAACATCTGGTTTTGGTTACCATTATTGTTTGCATTAACAAATTTGTTAAATCTATAATCTATGCAGTTGAGATGACTAAATCATTAAGTTGGTTGAACATAACCATATTTCATCTTTTATTTTCCAAGTACTTGATATAAAAAAATACAGATTTAGAATTCACTTTCTCTGTATTTGGCCCCATATTAGAATGTCCTTAAAAGAAATGCTGTGTGATAGGAACTTCTTTCCTCTATCGGTGAAGCTGTCTATTTTGCATAACTTATAATTACTGTGTAGTGACTATGGAATTACGATGAAGTACTTCAAGAGAAAATAGACAGTCTAACAATTGTTCTTAGGCTGAGACCTCACCGAAGAAGCTCCTTATCTATTACTTGTAACTCTGATGCTTATTAATTATACGCGATAATCATAGTGTGGGTTTTGAAAGTCATATTCTCAGGATTAGTTAACTATGTACTTACTGTGTAACTATACCCGGGAGATGACTTCTTAGCAGATCCAGTGTCAAGGTCATGAATTATAGACCCAACTCCTACCTCCCACCCTGCTTTCTTCATACTATTCTAAAAAGGAAAGATCATTTTTTTTAAAGTCAGGTTAGTATTTTCTATTTCCTTTTTTCCTGTTAAATTTCAGTACCAGTAATCATTCCTTTACGAATATTTACCATGCAGAAATAGTTATTATGGATAAGAAGCGTGACAGTTAAGTGGTATTCCAACTGCTTTTACACTTTCCCCTTGCTTCCTTTGTCCAAGCATTTTTCTTCTAAACATAGATGTTTTAAGGTATTCATAACTCCAAGTAGATATTTTCATCAGATCTTAGTTATCATTGTCATGTTTTTAATACCTGAATTTAAAGAAACTGATGTTCTCTATGAAAGGAATACATTATTGTTTGACAGTACTACTTTTGAAGATGTAACTAGCTTTTTAATTTTGCTTTGACAATAATTTAAAATTGATAGTAAAAATGACTCAGGAATTGATCGGTTTTTTTCTTCTTTTTCCTTCATCTTAAATGGAGTAGGGGCTATTTTGAAATTTTAATAATTTTCTTTTTGTTAGTAACTTAAAGAAAAAACATACACTGGAGATGTAGCTCAATGATTGAATGCCTGCCTAGCATATGCAGGGCCCTGGGTTTGGTCCCTAGCATGCACGTGCACGCAGTTGCTCATATTTCTGCTCTACAGACATCATCCAAATACTCCAATAATGTTGTAGCTTAGATGACTGTAGTGAAGCCAGAAGTAAAGCTTAGGAATTCTAACTCTGCTTTGAACAGATCTCCACAGAAGACTGTTAGCCAGTTATCAAAGAAGGCATCAGATTCCTTAGCACTAAAACACAAATTCCATGTTAAAGAAACCCCATGTTTCTTTATTCTTTTTTTCTTGAGAGTTATTTTAAATTACTATATAGTCAATGAATTTATAATCCCCCTACAACCTTTTCCACACTCAGCTTTTAATAGACTCCTATTTGTGAGTGTCAGTGCTAAACATGACTGATAAAACTATTCTTAAAAATGGATAAATGGGACCGGGGAGATGGCTCAGTAGAATAAGCGCTGCCCTGGCAAGCGCAAGGGGCCTGAGTTCAATCCCTGGTTCCACCAAAAAAAAAAAGGATAAATGGCAGTAGTTTTCATAACTAGATTTAGCTTGAAAGCTAAGTACTTTGATGTGATTTTTGAGCGTTTTCTCAACCCTGTGTCAGTGCCTTATTTTTGCTTATAAAGTATCTCAAGAAAATTTTCAGTGTCTGTGTAGTAATCATCAATGTTCACTTAGCCCACACATACGATGTAGTGTTCATATGAAGTAGTATATATTTCAAGCTCTTCTAGCAAAGATAAGGAATGAGGGAAGTCGAAGAGTCTCTTTGCCGCCACCTCCTGATCCTCGGACCCCTGACTTGGCAGGGCTCAAATCCCTGAAGCAGAGTCCAAACACTGGCCTGTAAACCTCTCATCTTCTCACTTGCAAAGCTGACCACGCCCTAACGAGGCTGCTAGATAGCAGCTGAACAGAGGCTCAGAGGGAGTAGAATTTGGGTGTAGGCAGCAGGAATTTTGTCTGGCCTGCTGGTCTGAGTGCCCCCACCACCACCTTTCAGCAGTCATGTGAAGTTGCATGTCCACAAATAGTCCTGCTTAACGTTTTTTGGGTTTTTTTTGTTTTGGTTTGGTTTGGGTTTTTTTGGTGGGGGGCTGGCTCAGGCTGCCCTAAGGGCAGGTCTGGTGCAGCATGTGGAGCTGCAGATCGAACTGCAGTCCCCTGCGCCTGACTGAGTTTCCCCAAACAGGAGCTTTAAACAACTGAGCTAACCCATAAGCCCCCATGCTTAACATAAATGCAAATGTCATAACACTACCTGCTGGTAATAGAAGAAGACATAATCAAAGACAGTAATCATAGTAGTTATGAACACAGATGTTTGAGCCAGGTTGCCGGGATTTAAGTCCTAATTAATACTGGCCATTTACTAGATGAGTAACCCGGAAAAAGGTTACTTAACTTATGTATTTGTCATCTACAAAGTAGAGATGATTAGCCCTACCTTACATGGTTATAAAAACTAATTTAATATGATAACGCTTAAAACAATATCTAACGCATAGTTCCATATATGTGTACTTATTGATATTATTGTACCGTGAGTTCCATATAAGTATCTGTGCTTATTAATATTATTGTACCATGCTACCTTCCTGATGTTTCTGTATTTGAATGACTCAATGCAATTTGTAGTTAGCAGATTACATTTATACTGTGCTGCCTCTACTATATAGCAAATTTCACTCCTCAGCAGTTTTTATTTTTTTATTTTTTAACGTATTTTGTACAGGGTCTCTACGTAGCTCGGACTGTTAGTGACCCTCCTGTTTTTAGCCTCCCTAACACTGGGATTACAGGCATGCACCACCACACCTGGTCTTGGTTGCAGGCTCAGCGCACCTGGGGGCAGGACCAGTGTGACATACGGTGCCAGGGACTGAACCAAGTTCCTGCATTGCAGGCAAAGCAAAGTACTGGACCAGCCAAATAATTCAGTGGATTAAAGTGCCTGCTTAGGCAGACACAGTGGCTGGGTTTCTGTCCCCGGCGGTGTGCCACACCGGCCCTTCCTCTGGGGTGTGTTGAGACTGGGTGTGGTTGCATGTGCCTATAATCCCAGCTCTTGGGAGGCTGAACACAGGCAGATCACTATGAGTGCAGTCTATGTAGTGAGACCCTGTGGACCCTGACTAAAATACAAAAATAGATAAAATAAAAAGCGAAGTACTTTTATTTGTTCTCTTTCCCAGGCCCAGCACAGAGATACTTTCATTGAAGAACGCTATGGAAAGTATAACATTAGTGATCCTTTAATGGCTCTGCAGAGAGATTTTGAAACACTGAAAGAGAAAAATGATGGTGAAAAGCAGCCGGTCTGCACAAACCCACTGTCTGTTCTCAAGGTGGTGATGAAGCAGTGTAAGAACATGCAGGAACGCATGCTGTCCCAGCTGGCCGCTGCCGAGAGCAGGCACCGAAAGGTAAGCTCAGCCCAGCCTGCATGCGCTGCAGGCGTCCTTGTGAAGAGAGAGTGACACCTGGCAGCTTCGGTCAGCTGCCACTCCACAGTACACTGGGGAGGATCGGAGGTTACGGAAAGCTCCTCAGCCCACCTAGGAGCCAGGAGGTACGAAAGAAAGTGCAGGTCACCCCGAATGTTAAATATAGAGAATGTGCCAGACACAGCAAGATAAAACTCCTTCTTGATGTGTCACTCCAGAACCCTTGCTGTTTTTTAATTCTGATCATCTGTAGTTTGGCCAAAAAAACTGAAATTTAACCAACTTGTGCTAAACAGTGGGTTCTTTATTTGCTTCCTGAAATGATAAATAAAAGATGAGTAGGTTTCTAGGAAAAGTTCTATCCCAGAGAAAGAGAGAGAACATACCTCCCTATAAATACGCAAATCAGTAGATTAGTTTTTTTATTCCTTGTTTGAGTTCCATTGTATTGTATCGCTCGTACACCAGAAGCAGCCCCTGTAGTTGCTCTCCTCCAAGCCCCGCTAGCCCACTAGGAGGGATCTCCATCCTCACAGCTCCTAAGTTAGGACGCTTGCCTCTGTTTCATCTTACTGGAATTCTGGTGCTCGTGAATTTATTTCCCAGCTTGTCATTTGCTGCTCATGTTTGGTCTGGAAAAGATGTTTGTTTGGAAGCTACATTTTTTTTTAAAACTATCAGTTTAGACGTACCAACAAAGAGGGTATCAGGAAGCATTTTAACTGAAGAAATTAGATTAGCAGCTGCAAAATGTGGTAGGCTTTAGTTTACTTCTTTGATTATCTGCAGTAGAGCCCTCTGCTTAACCCCCATCTGATAAAGTGCCTCTGAGCTCAGCGTCACCTGCGATCTTCTCTTCCCCTTCCCATCTGGAATCGGTGGCGAACGCATGGCGCATGTGCTGCAGCAGGCAGTTTATGTCATGAAAGCTCTGACAAGTTTCGTCTAAGTGAAAGGCCCTTAGAATGGTTGGGCCTCCAGTGTTCCACAGTCCCAGAAAATACACAGTGTCAAGATCTGTTCCTTATTTACTATTTATTTAATCTCTAGAACTGTGTTCAGTTGGCGTTTGGTATTTTATGTATGATTTCTTGACACTTGAAAATGAGTTTTTTAAATTCCTTCAAGGTGATACTAGACCTTGAGGAGGAAAGGCAGAGGCATGCCCAGGACACAGCTGAAGGAGATGATGTCACCTATATGCTGGAGAAGGAGAGGGAGAGGCTGACTCAACAGGTAATTAAGCTGGAGGGAATGTCAGCAGCACTTGGCCAGAATTGCATTTCTCAGCGGTTATCCTGCAGGATGTAAATTGGAATTGCTCAAAAAATGGCTCTGTGGTCACACAAGCCTAGGAACCACTGTATTACACAGTGTCAAATGGAAAGTTTCTGAGTTTAAATTTTTAGAACCTTTAGTATGCAGAATAAGATTGTGCATCTTCGAGAACAAGCCAGAACATTACATGTCTCACCAACCTATGTTTCCATAATTTTTTGAACGTGGCTCACTCATTATGGGATGATCACTCTGTAGAGCATAGTTTGGGGAACACTAATTTAGAGCTTTAGCCTGCACACTTTTTTCACTTAGGACCCCCAGTAAGAGAAATGCATTGCATGTCACTGAGGAGTTTGTGCACACATACAAACATGCCTGAAACCCAAATCTCATCTTGGGAAATGAATTATAACCCTTACTGCCTAGTTTGTTCTCTCTCTCTCTCTCTCTCTCTCTCTCTCTCTCTCTCTCTCTCTCACTGTCTGTCTGTCTGTCTGTCTGTCTGTCTGTCTGTCTGTCTTTCACACACACAAAGGGTTCTGGTCACGGCTTTCTAAATTGCTTCTCCATCCATTAATGGGTCTCACAGTGTGAACAGCACAGCCTGAAAGTGTTCCTTCAGTCCTTTCCTCTCATTTAGAGTCTGTGTGCAGTGAATAGGGATGAGAAAACAAAACAGACTGCATTTGTATGAAGAGAATAATTCAAGTGTGACTGTGTTTGTTCATTTTTAAAACCAGAGAAGATTATTGTGGAACTTAAGATTTTGTTTTGAGCAGCATTCACCACAAAATCTGACCTTTGTAGTTTTCTGTTACTTGTTTTTATTGGTTCTGTGTATTCTCCACATACCTAAACCAGTGATGCATCCCATTCCCACCAGTAACCCTGAAACCATTAAGAGCTAGAAATGTTTCCTAAGTCATCAAGCAAGATTAAGTCACATTGTGTGCAGTATTTGTGTTAAGTGTTCAGATATTCAGAAGTACTGAGCTGGGTTGTAGCTCAGTGGTAGAGAACTTGCTAGTGTAGTATGTGCGAGGCCCTGGGTTCAATCCCCAGCACTGTAATAAAAGAAAACAAATATTAATCTAAGCCCCATTGCATATACAATAATCTCATGTACTAGAGAACATCCAGCCAGGATATTCTACTTGATCACAATTTCTTAGTATATATCTTTATTTTATTAATCTAATAAAGATGTGTGGTGGTGTTTTTTTCTAGTTGGAATTTGAAAAGTCCCAAGTAAAGAAATTTGAAAAAGAGCAAAAGAAGCTCTCTAGTCAGCTGGAAGAGGAGCGCTCCCGCCACAAGCAGCTCTCCTCCATGCTGGTGCTGGAGTGCAAAAAGGCCACCAGCAAGGCGGCCGAGGAAGGGCAGAAGGCAGGGGAGCTGAGCCTGAAGCTGGAGAAGGAGAAGAGCCGAGTGAGTAAACTGGAGGAAGAGCTGGCAGCCGAGAGAAAGCGAGGCCTGCAGACCGAGGCCCAGGTAGAAAAGCAGCTGTCTGAGTTTGACATCGAAAGGGAACAACTGAGAGCAAAACTGAACCGAGAAGAAAACCGGACGAAAACCCTGAAAGAAGAGATGGAAAGTTTGAAGAAGGTAGTAAAGGACCTCGAGGCTTCCCACCAGCACAGGAGCACTGATGACCAGCTGAGGAAACCAGTAGCCATGTCCAGAGGCACGGCAACTGAGCCCCCCGTGCTGATATCTGTATTGTGCCAAACGGAGAGTGTTCCAGCAGAAAGAATCCATGGAAGCAGCGTAGCCAAGGTGACAAGCACTGGGATGCCCAGTCCCACCGCTCCTCCTTACTCTTATGCAAAGACCAATGGCCATTGTGATCCAGAGATACAAACTGCCAGGGAGTTGCTTGCAGGCAGCAGTGCAGAGAATCAAGTGCCTCCACAGGAGAAGTCTGTGGCACTGGCTCAAGAGAAACCAGTGGAGAATGGGGGGTACCCAGTGGGAACTGAGACTGCCGTCCCAATGCCTGGTCACCTCCCATCCAGTGGGAGCTCACTGTCTCCCAGCAGCACTGCCTCCTCCTCTCTGACCTCCTCCCCTTGCTCTTCACCAGTACTAACTAAGCGCTTATTGGGCTCATCAGCTAGCAGTCCTGGGTACCAGTCATCCTACCAGGTAGGGATCAACCAGCGCTTCCATGCCGCTCGGCACAAATTTCAATCCCAAGCAGATCAGGACCAACAAGCCAGTGGTCTCCAGAGCCCTCCGTCCAGGGATCTGTCCCCCACCCTCTTAGACAACTCGGCTGCCAAGCAGCTAGCCCGAAACACAGTCACTCAGGTGCTTTCCAGATTCACTAGCCAAGGGCCAATCAAGCCTGTCTCTCCCAACAGCTCTCCCTTTGGCACAGACTATCGGAATCTGGCCAACACTGCCAACCCAAGAGGTGACACCAGCCATTTACCTGCTCCAGGGAAAGTGTCCAGTCCACTGAGCCCCCTCTCTCCAGGAATCAAATCCCCTACCATCCCAAGAGCTGAGAGAGGAAACCCTCCACCTATCCCACCGAAAAAACCTGGCCTCGCCCCTTCTGCATCTGCTGCCGCTCCACTGACCAAAGCTCATTCCCAGGCGTCCTCTCTGAGCACCACAGAAGATCTTGCCAGCAGCTGCTCTGCCAATGCCGTGGTAGCCAACGGCAAGGACGTTGAGATACTTTTGCCTACCAGCAGCTAGTTTGTCTGAGTGAGTCTCCACAGGTGACATTCCATGAGATTTTGTCCAAGAGCTCAGAATGAGACCATTGAGTCAGATTATGTTATTTATTTTGGCAGTAGTTGCAGCCATCTGCATCATACATTTAGTGTATTTTACCTTTTTGTATTTTTTTAAGTAGAAACTGAGTAGTTTGGATTTGTATGGCTTACATCTTCGTACTGAATCTAGAAGGACCGCTCAAAGGCATCTCAAGCTCAGCAGTCACTGTCACAAGGAAGAAGCTCAGTGAGTTCCAGGTGGTGATCTGCTGTCTATTTTGGAACTAGAATTGCTCAACAATCATTCGAATAATGCAGAAGTATTTCATGCAGATTTTTATTCCAGATGAACATGTTTTAAAAGTGCCTGAAATAAGACAGCCACGTGAATGTGATTCTGCAGCAGAAACGCAACACGGATCCTGTCATCATGGAAAACGAGATCCTGTGTCAGTCCTGAATGTCAAAAGCCAACACTGCTTTTAATCCTCTTTTACTGTTCTTAATACATGCTTTGTGTTCTGCCTACAAGTGGACGGGAACCCCTCCTATGGGGTATGACCTCTCCATAGAGCTGAGCTCTCCAGAGCCCGCGAGGAGCCCTCCCGAGCACTAAGCAGTCAGGGTGCTGATTTCCTTGTACTTTTAAAAAATTACATCACTCCAGTTTCCTGCAGAATGAAATCACATCTCCATTCAAAAACGTTTTCAAGCATCTACTGTTGTGAAAGGAACTTCTGATTCTGATTGCTTTTACTTGAATAGGAAATGGTTGCTCATGCTGTGTGAGTTTGGCAACAGAATGAACTCTGTAATCAAAAAGCAATAACTTCAGATTGACTCTTTGTAATATTATAAATCAGAATAATACAAGTTTTATTCAGTTGTTACATTTATTCTCCAAGCTGCCAGCACTTGTGGGTATCTGTGGAACCAAATTAACTTTTGCCTAAATGGCACTATACATATATCTGTATAGATCCATACCCCTTTATGTGTTTAACATCTACTTAAACACATCAACTATTAGTGTGATTATATCTTTGGAGTTTGCAATATAGCACAAAGGACAAGTAGGATTGCACATTAAGATTACCTTCCAAAGCTTTACCTGGATGAGGCTGGGACCCAGCCAGTCAAAGGAGAACTCTTGTCCGTGGGGCAGTGGGAAAATTCCAAAGGAAGCCCAAATCTTCAGCATCTTAAAAAGGCACAGCTCACTTAGCCCCAAGCCCATCTGGTGAGAGTGAAACAGATCACTCCCTCAGGTGGTGTCAGAGAACTTAGAGAGGTGGGCACTACGGCAATCTGAAGCACTCAGTCCCTTTTAAAAGAGCCACCCTCTTCTGCTCCTGCTGCTTTCTGCTGTACAAAAATTCTAGACCAGTCTACCAGCTCTTCAAGTTTTTATGATACCCAAAATTTCATGAGAAACAGTCTCATTTTTAAATGTCAAGGACTAACTTAGAGGCCATGTGGTGGGGCCTGACTGTAATCCCAGCACCCAGGAGGCGGAGGCAGGAAGATCACTGTGGGTTCAAGACCAGCCTCAACTACAAAGTGAATTCTAGGCCAGCCTGAGCTGTATTATGAAACCCTGTCTTAAAAAGGCAAAAAGGGAAAGAAAAAAAAAAAAAAAAAAACTCTAACTTAAATTTTAAACCCTGCTGGTTAATCATTTCAGAGAGATTTATTTTATAAGCTGCAAAGTTGCAACTTTTTTCATTCTAGAAATTTCTGTCATTTCAGTCATAGTATAGACAGAAACCTTCAGATTTTCCAGCTGTATCCATGGAATGTGACTGTCCCTCTCTTCCAAGCAGAGCTTTCACAACCCAGCTCAAATAATGGTGGTTACATGATTTTTTTATCCACAGGAAGAGCAAGGTCTTGATGTCTTCACATATGCAGCCCCTATTGTCTGTTTAGCAGCTCTTGACTTGCCATGATCTTACTTGTGTCCTCTTAATCCAATATGAATTGATGAGGGAAAAACAAGTAATAGAAAATTGATATAAAAAAAAAGAAAAGAAAATTGATATATAGGGCTGGTGAGATGGCTCAGTGGTCTAAAGCACCTACTTAGAACAAGCTAAGCCAAGCAAAGCACAGGGACCTCGGTTCAATCCCCCAGCACCACATGCCAGCCCGCCCGCCCCCTGGTGGGCTGAGCTGGCCACACACAAAAAATAAATAAATAAATAAATAAATAAAATAATTTAAAAAAAAAAGAAAATCGATATATAAATCACAGGGGAATATACTAAGGACTCTAGCTTATAGTTTGATTAAAGGGACAAATTTAAATGCTCCTGAGTCCCAGAGTGTTTAACAAAACGATACAGGAAGTATCTTAAACTGCCCAAAGCAATCATGCATTGAACTTTATTCCCATTGCATAGCCAAAATGAATGGTGTTGATAAAATTTCTGACCCTTCTAAACAGGAAGAAGGGTACAGTGCCAGGGCATTATTACCTCTTTTGCTTTAAATGGTAATCTTAAAGGCTGCATTGTGCTCTTCCTTTGTTTCGGGATACCTATATAGAGAGATACTACATGGAAGTTTTATTTCTTAGGAAGTGCACTGAATATATTTCTTTTACAGTGTAATGTGGGGGTGGGATGCACAAAAGAAATGTGTATTTTTGCTAGTTGTCTATCTTCTGAGGTAAATAAGCACAATGCTTCGGTGGATCCAGTAATGTAGTTAGGTATTATAGATTAGTATTTAAGTTTGCTATAGTCTGTGTGTATGTGCTAAACGTTCTGCAGTTCACAATTCTGGTGTTAACCCATGTTGAAAAAGCTATGTTACTGGGCAACCGATTTTAATGATGTCTAACATATAAGCATTAACTAGTTATTAACATTTGTAAAGCCAAATGTACCATGCAGAAATCTTCATTTTTATAGCAGATTACATTAAAACACGTTAAATTATACTGTCTGAGGAAAAATAGTTTTATTTGTACAAGATGAAGAAATTTCCATAATTTGGGCCTATTTTGTTGGGAAAGAGTAAGTGATGTAGGTCTGGGGATATAGCTCAGATACAAGCACCTGCCTAGCAGGCGCAAGGTCCTGAGTTCAATTCCCGGTACCAAAACATAAAAGAGTAAGTGATACAGAGGGAGGGCTTGATCATGGCTTTGAGAAAACAGCTGAAGTCAACACACTTGCCCAGGTTAGAACCCGCAAGGAACCAGGACATGGTTTTATTTGGAAGCATATTCATAACAATATAGTTAGGTTTGTAATTTTTAAAAACAATATGGAAATTCATTGATGTAATACTCAATGCCAGCAATTGAGAAATGATTTGTTTTTCAGACTCGTGTTCCCAGGGCAGAAACAGCACAGCAGGATGTGCCGGCCAGAGCAACTCTAACCGGGGGAGGCTGGGAAGCAGAGCAGGGCTGGGACAGTGCCAGAGGAGGAATGGGAGAGAAGCCACCTGTAGACCCCAAGATCATGCCCAGAAGTGTGTTTTCCTAATCCCCCGGGCATCCTTAATCCAGCCAAGGGGATACATCATGGCTCACTGTCAGGAACTCTGGGCCTTTTGCAGATCTTAGAAGTGCTAGACTCTTCCCAGGAAATTAGGCCTGTATGCAGAATATAGTTGATGGCGTCACAGAAACTGAGGCCCTGAAGCCTCCTTAACTCCCATATTCCAGTTTGAAGAATGCTTGATCCCATCCTGCTCTCTCATCTTGCAAGTAATTGTGCATTGCTGCTATGCTGTTTATAATCCAAGTTGCAGCTACTTAAAAACACTTGAAAATTCTTTGATGTACAAAAGATGTTCAGTGTGGCTGTTTACATATCTTAAATTTCTAGCATTGAAGCCAGTTAATGATCATTTCAACAAACAGCTATATCCGGTTTCCCATGACAGCTTCAGTGCTATCTTGTGAATAAGAGAGGAGGAAAGGAAGGGAAGGAGGAAGAGAAAACTTGAGAGAGAATTATAGAGTGCAGCATCTTTGACACAGAATTTCAGGTGTCTTAAAATGCCTACTGCCAAACAGCATGTGTGAGCTGGGTGTGGTGGCAGCTTCCCATCGTCCCAGCACGTGGGAGACTAAAGTGGGCGGACCGAGAATTGCGGTTAGTGCAGCTGCACACGAGACCCCTTCTCAAAAGTCAGAACTGCAGTGTGGGAGGTTGGGGTGCAGCTAATGAGCGGTGCCTGGCATGAAGAAAGACGTGTTTCAGTGATGAGCCAGCAGTGGCAGTGACGTTCCACAGGAGTGATTGGGGGCCAGCACCAGGGAGTGCACCGTGGGCCTTAGCAACGAACTGCTACATCCCCGACCCTGTCGGTTTTTTGTTGTGAGACAGGATTTTCCTAATTGCCCAAGCTAGGCTCCAACTTGTATCCTAGTGTCTCAGCCTCCCAGGGTGCTGGGATTGCAGGCATGGGCCACCACAACCAGGTCACATTTTGAAAGTGTTTCAGAGACTTCATTTGTTTGACCTAGGAGATGTCTTAAGCATCTGAAATGGGCTTGCCAGAATGGCAGTGACATTGTGTCAAGACCTAGGCACCGGGCACTGCGCTAATTATGTCTCATGTGCACTGTTACTCATCCTCACCAGCACGCTGGGCGCTGTGTTATTCTTGGTGTACTGGTGAGGTGGTCAAGGATAGGAGGCTTATACATGTAAAGACAGGTAAGCTTTGGGGACCACGACCCCAGCCAGTTGCGAAGCAGTAGCTCCTTCCAGGCTGCATTCTAACCCAGAGCTTTCCCATTTCACAGCGCCCTCCCGCTTCCAGCCAGCATGGCTGCATGTGCACAGTGCCCGCCTTCCCCAAAGCTTACAGCAATACTGTGCACACCAGCTCCTCTGAGCATTTTCCAGTGCTGCCCACCCCTGCTGCAGGTAGTGGAAAAACGTGGCTTGCAACCTTGTCCTTTCTTTTCATAATGGGTCAACAAATCCTTCTATTTTAATTTTCCAGTCCTAGAAGCTTTGGGTTAACCCTGTTAAAAGACAAAATTATAACAAATTTAGTTGGCTTCAGTTGCAGCCAACATTTCATTCCATAAAACAATCAGTGGTTCCACGGGGCTGAACAGGAAAGGACAGAAGTGGCTCAGTCATTTCAAAGTTCCTGTCCTTGTCAAGCAGGGACCAGGGGACAGAATAATAGGGAAATAATGGGTTGATTGGTTTCAGGTCACTTTTTGGAAGGATTAAATGAGAGGCTTTGGCCTAGTGGTACACAACTTGTAATCTAATCCCAACACACAGGAAGCCAAGGCAGGAGGATTGGGACTTTGATGCTAGGGCTATACTAGCAGGACCTTATCTCAACAAAACACCGGGTAAATAAGTAGAAAATTTGTTTTTGTTTTTAGTACTGTGTATTAAGCCCAGGGGAACTTTTAACACTTGAGCTATATCCCCAAACCTTGTATAGAGAGAGACAGAGACTAGGTCTTGCTGAGTTGGCCCAGGTTGGCCTTGAATACTTGTGTTCCTCCAGCTTCAGCCTTCGGCCTTCTGAGTAGCTGGGATTACAGGCGTGTGCCACCATGCCTTAGTGTGGTTTCATTTAAGGATTTGGTGGGGGTTGGTGGTGTTTCTTTTTTCCTGAGACAAGTTCTCATAGCCTGGTCTTGAACCCTGATCTTCCATCTGCCATACCCAAGAAGCTGGGATAACAGGCCCATGCCACCATACCCAGCAGCAAACATGCCTTCTCTCTTCAAAGCATTGTCTGCCTGCACTTTGCAGTATCTCCCTGTTTGCTTTATGATACAGTTGGCTTGCCTGGATTTGAAAATGAGATCAGGGACAGGTACAGAAAGTCCCCAAGAACACAGTCCTGTTTGAGACAGACAGGCCCAGTGGGTGGGGCCCACAGGGTTTGGGCTGGTGTAAAGGAGGAACTCCCATGTTACAGTGCTTGAGAACATTCTCTGGTGGTATGTAGGGAAGATTTAGGAATATATAAAAGCCAGGTAGAGAAAGAGGGAGGGAGGCAGCAAGGAAGGACCAACCTCCTTGCCGCAATACGGCGTTGCCCGCTGATCATCCTATCCTTGCCCTCTTCACGCCTTTAGATTCCTGATGGGGGCCAGGGAGAAGGCTCAGTAGAATAAGCGCTTCCCTGGCAAGTGCAAGGGCCTGAGTTCAATCCCCAGTTCCACCAAAAAAAAAAAAAAAAGATTCCTAATGGAAGAAGTGAACATTACGTTTTGAGAAGTCTCAGCTGAGTTCTGCTGTGACACTTGCAAGTGACTTCCTTGGAGGGATGTGAAAGCAGCTTCTGCTCTTCTCTCCAAACAGCCAGTTTTTGTTTTGCTGTGAGACTGCAGGAGACAGGAAGCCTCCAGTGGCCCTGCGCACACCACGGCTAAGTGTTTGGCACTGAAAAATTTGAGAAGTGCGAAATCAAGATGGGCACTGGGAAGTCACCTACTTCATCTGAAAAGAAGCCTGCTCAGGCTGGGGAGGGAGCTCAGGGGTAGTGTTTGCCAAGCACGTGTGAAGTCCTAGGTTTGAAAACTACTCCCCCTTCATCAATGAAGCATGCTTTTCCC